AACAGCCGAACAAAGTGGTAAATAGTTGTGTTACCCGGTGTGTTGGGCATCATAATTCACAGGAATAGTACACAGTGGCGTTTAAGGACTTTAAGCTGGCTATGAAATATCGTGAATACTTCGTCGAGTTCTCTACCGCCAATGATGTGACCTGTAGTTTAATGTGGCACGCGTCTTTGAAAGGGCTTTACTTAACTTTAATCAACGTGTAAGGTATAACTTAGGTAAGCCAACATTTCTTTGTAATGCAAGCTACATTTTCATATCTTTAATGTGTGAATATTTTTAATTTTGTAAAAAACTAAGCGCAATATGTTGTTGGAGAAAGCTAGGGAGAAAGTATCGAGTGCTTCATAATAACGCTCAGATCTTGTATACAGACAATCGTATTTTATTCAAAATCTACCCTTTATCACCACTTTTTTTATTCTTTTATGTTAAAGTATACATAATCCTTGACTTAAAAACACGATGATCTACTCGAGGAAAATTGGGCAAAGGGGCGATCTTTGCAGAGAAACTTGACCGTTCGGTGAAATTGGTAGTTCAGAGACCCTATTTTCATTGTAGTATTTCGTGGCAATTTGTTGGTCGATTTCTAGTTTATATTGTAGAACGGGTTCCTAGTGAATTAAATTAATTGTCTATCCTCTACAGAGTAGTAATAAGCGCGTTTCCTTTTTGTTGACGGATGTTGAATTCATTTTAGACTCTTGTTCATAAACAAGAACTACACTACCGAGTACTAAATCACTGTTTGCAAAGAAATGGGCCTATATCACCACAAAAATTCAAGCTTATTTTTGGAGTCGAATAGTTTCTCCATGGATAGAAGTAGTTTTTATGTAGTGAAAAATAGGGCAAGTACGAATTTAAAGAAGGTAAATTTGCACTTGTATATATCTCACTTCGAAAAGGATATACATATTAAAAACAGGTATATTTGCACTGCGAAATTAAACTGCTGCAACAAAGTTTTTATTTCTACTTTCACGTTCTTATTCCTAAGCAAACACTTCTAAGTTGGAAATGCCTAAAATTGTGAGCGTAGAAACACTAGAGAAACAAGAAAACGACTTCATAACACGAGTAGTTTTGGCAAATTTGATGTTTGTTTTTATAATTCAGTCACGCGATTAACCCGCGCTCACGTGCACTCCACGCTTACGTTTCTCGCGCATGCGTAGACGAAAGTCCACCCTGTTCGCCGCCATGACAGAAAAATTATAATAGTCCGCTGGCCAATCACATCAAATGTTCAGATTACTTTGACAAGTTTTCTTTGTTGACCCATACAGACGAACAAAATTTGTGCTAGCATGATAGCTTTTGAACAAGTGCACTTGTCATAGAATTGTCAAAGTTGCGCGTACAGACGAGGAAATAAGACTTGTCACATAGAAACTTGTCATAGAAAACTTGCTCGTCTGTAACTGGCTTAAAACAAAATTATGCGCCATATTGAAACGTCATTGTTACCATAGTTACCGCATATTAAACTACTATTATTCCATCGAAGGTTTCTACAACCTTTGCAGGCCGACGAAATAGACGTTTTATTCAACTTTCTTTGATGTTTAATACTTACAATCTCAACTGCCTTTAAAATAAAAGGAATAGACTTTACATAATCCAGTCCTTTTGGTACTTGTGCAGGCATTCTAGCGAGCTGCAAAAAATATTTGCAAGAAAATAAAATTTATTCAGTTTCAAAGAAAATGTTTTGTTTCATTTTAGTCAGGATTTAGTACGTACTGCTACCTCCTCCGCAGGCCTTTCAAAAATATAAAATTGGTGGGAAACGAACGGAAAGGCCTGCGGACTAATTTTCCAAAATGGCGGGAAGCCACAAACCAAATTATATTGTCTATATTTAATATATCATTTTACCAAAACAATATTTATAATTATTATTAAAGTCTTTAACTACTTCTGATATAGTCCTCTTTTCGTATCCTCAATATACATAAAAACAGTGAACACTGAACAAACAAGCATATTAATGATTTATGAAGAGAAACAGATAAATATCAGTTGATAATTTGATATTACAAACACGCATCTGCGCTTTTATGTAACACGTCGTATGTCAGGCATGCGGCCGTTTATCCACGAAATTTATTCCATTTATATTTGTCTTTTATACAGTTTAACTATTTAAATGCGTGTGTACATAGTCAAAGCATCCCATTTGGCCAAATGATAGATTCACAACGTCCATAAATATCGCTGTCGCTTGTGCTTTTAAAACCCTCCATTATTTTAATCTCCTCGTCGCTTTTATCAGCCATAACTTGTGCCATATTTTTGAAGAAATTTGACCCAACCGAGTAATCGACACCAAAAGCCAAGTAATCGACATGTTATTCAGCAGGCCTTACAGCTACGCAAGCCTTCGTCTCAAATTTCAACCTGCGAACGGACATTTTCAACCTGCGAACGGGCACGCATCGAGTATGTGATATTTCGGAACAGAATCTAGTTCCTTCGATATCAATGTAATCTAGTAATCATGATTTCTTGTAAGAAATCATGATTACTAGATTGATATCGAAGGAACTACATTCTGTTCCGAAATATCACATACTCGAAACGTCCTGACCGCGTAGCTCAGTTGGCAGAGCATTGGGCTAGTATTCCAACGGTCGTAGGTTCGATTCCCACCGTAGTCAGGCATATTTTTCAAGCTTGCCCGGTGTGGATATACACTCAGAGTAACACCACAAACATCATATTCACCTGGAGTACATTACACGAATTAACACAAGAAATCAGATTACTAGATTACGTTGATATCGAAGGAACTAGATTCTGTTCCGAAATATCGCATACTCGAACCGTCCTGACCGCGTAACACAGTTGGCTAGTATTCCAACGGTCGTAGGTTCGATTCCCACCGTGGCCAGGCATATTTTTCAAGCTTGCCGGTGTGGATACACACTCAGAGTAACATCACAAGCATCATAATACAATGAGTTCTGTTCAGTTTCCAGACCATCATATTTCGATTGA